ATGGCCATCCAGTCTTTGTAATGGAAATAATAATAATAATAATAATAATAATAATATGAGATAATATAGATCTCATTTGCTGTGACATACTGTATTTTTGTGTCAGTAAAGTAGTAATAATAATAATATTTGGTCGTGTCAGGATCTTCTGGTGTGAGAGAATTGGTTGTCTGCAGGCACGTTGCCCAGGGGACGCCTGGATGATTTTGATGTTTTTACCATCCTTGTGGGAGGCTTCTCTCATGTCCCCGCATGAGGAGCTGGAGCTGATAGAGGGAGCTCATCCGCCTTTCCCCAGATTCGAACCTGCGACCTGTCGGTCTTCAGTCCTTCAGGGGTTGAACCCACTGTGCCACCAGGAGCTCCAGATAATAATAATAATAATAATAATAATAATAATAATAATAGCAGAAACCCCAGAGGCCATCCAATCTAAACCCTTTTGCCATTGAGGAAAATCACAATCAAAGCTCTCCCAACAGATGGCCATCCAGTCTTTGTAATGGTAATAATATAATGTAATATATTATAATATATGAGATAATATAGATCTCATTTGCTGTGACATACTGTGTTTTTGTGTCAGTAAAATAATAATAATAATAATAATAATAATAATAATAATAAGAGCAGAGACCCCAGAGGCCATCCAGCATAACCCTTTTTGCCATTGAGGATAAGCAAAATTAAAGCTTCCCCAAAAGATGGCCGTCCAGTCTTTGTAATGGTAATAATAATAATATAATAGTAATAATAATATATTATAATATATGAGATAATATAGATTTCATTTGCTGTGACATAATGTGGTTTGTGTCAGTACAATAATAATAATAGCAGAAACTCCAGAGTCTATTTAGTCTAACCCCTTTTGCCATTGAGGAAAAGCACAATCAAAGCTTGCCCAACAGATGGCCACCCAGTCTTTGTCATGGTAATAATAGTATAATAATAATATAATATATTATACTATATGAGATAATACATATCTCATTTGCTGTGACATACTGTGTTTTTGTGTCAGTAAAATAATAATAATAATAATAATAATAATAATAATAGCAGAAACCTCAGAGGTTATCCAGTCTTTGTAATGGTAAAAATAATATAAAATTATAATAATATAATATATTATAATATATGAGATATTATAGATCTCATTTGCTGTGACATACAGTGTTTTTGTGTCAGTAAAATAATAATAATAATAATAATAATAATAATAATAATAATAGCAGAAACCTCAGAGGTTATCCAGTCTGTAATGGTAAAAATATTATAATATAATAATAATATAATATATGAAATATTATAGATCTCATTTATTGTGACATACTGTGTTTTTGTGTCAGTAAAATAATAATAATAATAATAATAATAATAATAATAATAATAATAATAGCAGAAACCTCAGAGGTTACCCAGTCTTTGTAATGGTAAAAATAATAATATTATAATATATTATAATATATGAGATATTATTGATCTCATTTGCTGTGACATACTGTGTTTTTGTGTCAGTAAAATAATAATAATAATAGCAGAAACCTCAGAGGTTATCCAGTCTTTGTAATGATAAAAATAATATAATAATAATAATATATGAGATAATATATATATAATAACAAAATGAAGTTCAACAGTGACAAATGTAAGATACTCCACTTTGGCAGAAAAAATGAAATGCAAAGATACAGAATGGGGGACAATGCCTGGCTCGAGAGCAGTACGTGTGAAAAAGATCTTGGAGTCCTCGTGGACAACAAGTTAAACATGAGCCAACAATGTGATGTGGCGGCAAAAAAAGCCAATGGGATTTTGGCCTGCATCAATAGGAGCATAGTGTCTAGATCTAAGGAAGTAATGCTACCCCTCTATTCTGCTTTGGTTAAACCACATCTGGAATATTGTGTCCAATTCTGGGCACCACAATTCAAGAGAGATATTGACAAGCTGGAATGTGTCCAGAGCAGGGCGACTAAAATGATCAAGGGTCTGGAGAACAAGCCCTATGAGGAGCGGCTTAGGGAACTGGGCATGTTTAGCCTGAAGAAGAGAAGGCTGAGAGGAGATATGATAGCCATGTATAAATATGTGAGAGGAAGCCACAGGGAGGAGGGAGCAAGCTTGTTTCTGCTTCCCTGGAGACTAGGACGTGGAACAATGGCTTCAAACTACAAGAAAGGAGATTCCATCTGAACATTATGAAGAACTTCCTGACTGTGAGAGCCGTTCAGCAGTGGAACTCTCTGCCCGGAGTGTGGTGGAGGCTCCTTCTTTGGAAGCTTTTAAACAGAGGCTGGATGGCCATCTGTCAGGGGTGATTTGAATGCAATATTCCTGCTTCTTGGCAGAATGGGGCTGGACTGGATGGCCCATGAGGTCTCTTCCACCTCTTTGATTCACATATTTATTTATTTTATTTACTTTGCTTATATACCGCTGTATCTCAAGCCCGAAGGCGACTCACAGCGGTTCACAAACAGTAAAAACAGTAGAAACAGCAGTGGTTCCATACAACATATAACAATTGACTTAACACATTATCCATAAATTACCAATAAGCAATTACAATGCACAATTATTAAAAAACAACTGTACCCAATCTTCTCATCATCCAAGCGTAGTCCAGGTTCGTCGTCCATTGTTCCATTCCTATGTTCCATTACCAGATTGCACTAAATTACTCAAACGCCTGCATAAACATCCAGGTCTTCACCTTTTTGCGGAATACCATTAGAGATGGTGCCAGTCTAATGTCCGTAGGAAGGGCGTTCCACAGCCGAGGAGCCACCACCGAGAAGGCCCTATCTCTCGTCCCCGCCAGCCGAGCTTGAGAAGCAGGCGGGATCGAGAGCAGGGTCCCCCCGGAAGATCTCAAAGTCCTGGTGGGTTCATAGGCAGAGATGCGGTCAGATAGGTAGCTTGGGCCGGAACCGTTTAGGGCTTTAAAGGCCAACGCCAGCACTTTGAATTCAGCCCGGTAGCAGATCGGTAGCCAGTGGAGTTGGCGCAACAGGGGGGTTGTATGCTCCCTGCGCTCCGCTCCTGTTAAATCATGGCTGCCGAGCGTTGGACTAGTTGGAGCTTCCGAGCTGTCTTCAAAGGCAACCCCACGTAGAGAGCGTTGCAGTAGTCTAAACGGGATGTAACCAGAGCGTGGACTACCGTGGCCAAGTCAGACTTCCCAAGGTACGGGCGCAGCTGGCGCACAAGCTTTAGCTGTGCAAATGCTCCCCTGGTTACCGCCGAAACCTGGGGTTCCAGGCTCAGCGATGAGTCCAGGGTCACACCCAAGCTGCGAACCTGCGTCTTCAGGGGGAGTGCGGCCCCATCCAACACAGGCTGTAACCCTATGCCCTGTTCGGCCTTGCGACTGACCAGGAGTACCTCTGTCTTGTCTGGATTCAATTTCAATTTGTTCGCCCTCATCCAGACCGTCACATCGTCCAGGCACCGGTTCAGGACCTCGACAGCCTCCTTAGTAGCAGGTGGAAAGGAGTGACAGAGTTGGACATCATCGCGTACAGATGACACCGTACCCCGAAACTCCGGATGATCTCCCCCAGCGGCTCTTTGATGCTATGATTCTATGATTCTATGATTCATTTGCTGTGACATACTGTGTTTTTGTGTCAGTAAAATAATAATAATAATAATAATAATAATAATAATAATAGCAGAAACCTCAGAGGTTATCCAGTCTTTGTAATGGTAATAATAGTATAATATAATAATATAATATATGAGATAATATAGATCTCATTTGTTGTGACATACTGTGTTTTGTGTCAGTAAAATAATAATAATAATAATAATAATAGCAGAAACCTCAGAGGTTATCCAGTCTTTGTAATGGTAATAATAGTATAATAATAATATAATATATTATACTATATGAGATAATATAGATCTCATTTGCTTTGACATACTGTGTTTTTGTGTCAGTATAATAATAATAATAATAATAATAATAATAATAATAGCAGAAACCTCAGAGGTTATCCAGTCTTTGTAATGGTAAAAATAATATAATTATAATAATAATTATAATAATAATACAATATATTATAATATATGAGAAAATATAGCTCTCATTTGCTGTGACATACTGTGTTTTTGTGTCAATAAAATAATAATAATATCAGAAACCTCAGAGGTTATCCAGTCTTTGTAATGGTAAAAATAATATAATAATAATATAATATACTATAATATATGAGATAATATAGATCTCATTTGCTGTGATATACTGCGTTTTTGTGTCAGTAAAATAATAATAATAATAATAATAATAATAATAATAGCAGAAACCTCAGAGGTTATCCAGTCTGTAATGGTAAAAATAATATAATTATAATAATTATTATAATAATAATACAATATATTATAATATATGAGAAAATATAGATCTCATTTGCTGTGACATATTGTGTTTTTGTGTCAGTAAAATAATAATAATAGTAGTAGTAGTAGCAGAAATCCCAGAGGTTATCCAGTCTTTGTAATGGTAAAAATAATATAACAATATTATAATATATTATAATATATGAGATATTATAGATCTCATTTGCTGTGACATACTGTGTTTTGTGTCAACAATAATAATAACAACAACAAGAGCAGAAACCCCAGAAGCCATCCAGTCTAACCCCTTTTGCCATTGAGGAAAAGCACAATCAAAGCTCTCCCAACAGATGGACATCCAGTCTTTGTAATGGTAATAATATAATGTAATATATTATAATATATGAGATAATATAGATCTCACTTGCTGTGACATACTGTGTTTTTGTGTCAGTAAAGTAATAATAATAATAATAATAATAATAATAATAATTGCAGAAACCTCAGAGGCCATCCAGCCCAAAGCCTTTCTGTCATGCAGGAACAACACAAAGCACTGAGAGAACCCGTCTGCGCCTGCGCGGCCCAAACCACGCCCCCCTCTCCCCTCCCAAAGCACTGAGAGAACCCGTCTGCGCCTGCGCGGCTCAAGCCACGCCCCTCTCTCCCCTCCTCCCTGTCTACATGGCTTGCCTCGTCGCCATGGCGACGGCTTTGTGACTACCGCGGCCTACTAGGCCTCACTTGAATCCCCGGCCTCGCTTGAGTTGTCCAAGCCGGCAGGGTGTGCTCTTGCTTCCGCCATGGCCACGCGCAGCGCGGGGACGCTTTTGACGCAAAACAACATGATCTACGTGCCTCCAGGGCTCATGCCTGGGTCGGTGGGGGTGGCGTTGAGGTGGTGGTAGTGGTGGTGGGGGTCTCAGCTTGAAAAAATGGTTTAGGAAGGCGAATGAGTTCTTTATTTACATATTCTTGAAAGGAAAAGAAGTCTAAGAACAGAAGGGAAGAAAGGGAAATCGATGTGGAGGGGTCAGGGTGGGAATTAGCACTCTGCACATGCTCAGAGGAAGGCAGAGTCTGAGAATATTGCTTGCTTTGAGGCTAAGGTGCATCTACACCAGGTATGGGCCAACTGGGACAAAGGACTCTTGTCTGCTGGAGCTAGGTGTGAATGTTTCAACTGACCACCTTGATTAGCATTTGATGGCCTGGCAGTGCCTGGAGCAAACTTTTGTTGAGAGGTGATTAGATTAGCTCCAGCAGACAAGAGTCCTTTGTCCCACCCTGGTCATTCCACAGATATATAAACCCATTTTCCTAGTTCCAACAGACCTCACTACCTCTGAGGATGCTTGCAGTGCCTGTCAGCAAACTTTTGTTGAGAGGTGATTAGATTAGCTCCAGCGGACAAGAGTCCTTTGTCCCACCCTGGTCATTCCACAGATATATAAACCCCTTTTTCCTAGTTCCAACAGACCTCACTACCTCTGAGGATGCTTGCCATAGATGCAGGCGAAACGTCAGGAGAAAATGCCTCTAGAACATGGCCATATAGCCCGAAAAAACCTACAACAACCCTGTGATTCCGGCCATGAAAGCCTTCAACAATACATTATTATTATTATTATTATTATTATTAGCCATCCCCTGCCAGGCGTTGCTGTGGTCCAGTTTGTGTACTTACTTACTTAGGCAATCCCTCGTTGGACGAGTAAGATGGTCTTCCATTATGCGTTTCCTTGTGGGTTCGTAGGTGGCTGTGGAGCCCTATTCTTGACCTGCGCCTTCTCTCGCAGTGAGGGCATTGGTTTCCAGGTGGAAGGTGGTCTCGGTTGGGGTTGGCTTGACACGCCTTCCTCTTGGCACGTTTCTCTCTTTCACCCTCAATTCGTGCCTCTTCAAATTCTGCAGCACTGCTGGTCACAGCTGACCTCCAGCTGGAGCGCTCAAGGGCCAGGGCTTCCCAGTTCTCAGTGTCTATGCCAGAGTTTTTAAGGTTGGCTTTGAGCCCATCTTTAAATCTCTTTTCCTGTCCACCAACATTCTGTTTTCCGTTCTTGAGTTCAGAGTAGAGCAGCTGCTTTGGGAGACAGTGGTCAGGCATCCGGACAATGTGGCCTGTCCAGCGGAGTTGATGGCGGAGGACCATCGCTTCAATGCTGGTGGTCTTTGCTTCTTCCAGCTCGCTGACATTTATCTGCTTGTCTTCCGAAGAGATTTGCAGGATTTTTCGGAGGCAGCGCTGAAGGAATCGTTCCAGGAGTTGCATGTCATGTCTGTAGATAGTCCACGTCTTGCAGGCGTATAGCAAGGTTGGGAGTACAATAGCTTTGTAAACAAGCCCCTTGGTATCCCTATGGATGTCCCGGTCCTCAAACACTCTCTGCTCCATTTGGGAAAACACTGCACTCGCAGAGCTCAGGCAGTGTTGAATTTCATTGCCAGTGTTGACTTTTGTGGAGAGGGGGCTGCCAAGGGAGCGGAAATGGTCAACATTTTCTAATGTTACACTATTAATCTGTATTGGGTTGTTGTAGTTTTTTCGGGCTATATGGCCATGTTCTAGAGGCATTCTCTCCTGATGTTTCGCCTGCATCTATGGCAAGCATCCTCAGAGGTAGTGAGGACACTACCTCTGAGGATGCTTGCCATAGATGAAGGCAAAACGTCAGGAGAGAATGCCTCTAAAACATGGCCATATAGCCCGAAAAAACCTACAAATCCCAGTGATTCTGGCCATGAAAGCCTTTGACAATACATTAATCTGTATTTCTGGCATTGGAGAGGGATTGGTCAGTGACTGCTGGAAGAGCACTTTGGTTTTCTCGATGTTCAATGACAGGCCGAGCTTCTTGTATATGCTTCTGCGAAGGTGGTTAGAGTGGTTTGTAGGTCTTCTTCTGAATGCACAGATGACGTTGTAATGTATTTTTTATTTTTTTGGCTTTTTAAGTCTCATCTTAACCCTGAATTCCATACAGCAAACCATCAAGTGCCAATTAACGCCTCCCAAACAAAGGATGCCCCTGGGAAACAACAGCCAGGCACTGCAGCTGCAAGACTACTCAATGCTAATCAAACTGGCTAATTGCAACATTCACACTTGCTTCAACAGACAAGGATTCTTTTTCCCCAAACTTGATATTCCAAAGATAGATAGATAGCTAGATAGCTAGATAGATAGATAGATAGATAGATGTTGGTTGTTCATTCGTTCAGTCGTCTCCGACTCTTTGTGACCTCATGGACCAGCCCACGCCAGAACTCCCTGTCGGCCGTCCCCACCCCCAGCTCTTTCAAGGTCAGTCCAGTCACTTCAAGGATGCCATCCATCCATCTTGCCCTTGGTCGTCCCCTCTTCCTTTTACCTTCCACTTTCCCCAGCATCATTGTCTTCTCTAGGCTTTGCTGTCTAGATAAATAGATAGATAGATAGATAGATAGATAGATAGATAGATAGATAGATAGATAGATTCACTTGCCTCATTTCCAACAGACATCTGAATAAACCTCTGCCATAGATGCAGGTGAAACATCAGGAGAGAATGCTATTGGAACATGGCCAGGCAGCCCAGAAAACTCACAGCAACCCAGTGATTTTGGCCATGAAAGTATTTGACAACACCTGGCTACACTGGTTTCCTTTTGACTCTGGCTTTGAAACCCTTCCTTCCTTCCTTCCTTCCTTCCTTCCTTCCTTCCTTCCTTCCTTCCTTCCATCCAACCATGCAACTCAAAAAACTCACAGCAACCTGGTGATTTTGGCCACGAAAGCCTTTGACAACACAATAATGGATTCCTTTATCCCCTTTTCTTCTTCTCTTTGTCTCTAGATACCGCGGGCATGTCCCCAATGTGACATTCTCCTTTGGCGACACATACGGCAACGCTACCATGAAATACTTCCAGGATTTCCGGAGCAAGGCCTTGGATGCCAGCGGCACTCCTTATGCAAAAGCGGGGCAGTTCCCCACGCTTTTCTCCCGGGACCCGGGCCTGGTCCTGTGTGCGAGGACCGAGGGCTGGGACCGGTGGCACCACACTCCCGTATACTCCCGCTTCAACTTGGATTTCAATCGCTCGGAGGAGCTCAAGGAGTTTTACAAGGTACGAGGGATATTTCGGGACATGTTGGGTGTATCTACAGTGCAGGAATGGGTAAACTTAGGCCTTCTCTTCAGGTGTTTTGGGCTTCAACTCCCACAATTGTTTGCCTATGCCTGACTTAGTGTCAAACCTCAGGTCTATTAGTGGTCACTTGAGCATCCAATATCATTGCAAAGTGTCTTTGGTGAGAATATGATGCAAGAATAAAATGTATTATTATTATTATTATTATTATTATTATTATTATTATTGACACGAAAGCACAGTATGTCACAGCAAACGAGATCTCTATACCCCTCCCCCCCCGAATCAAACTCAGCCCCCCCACCCCGAATCAAAATCCTGGCTACGGTGTATCTGTCCAAACGGATCTCCCTCTACATCCCACCCCGGAGTTTAAGATCTTCTGGGGAGGCCCTGCTCTTGACCCCGTCTCTATCACAAGTGAGGTTGGCGGGGACGAGGAGCAGGGCCTTCTCGGTGGTGGCCCCCCACCTGTGGAATTCACTCCCCAGGGAAATTAGATCAGCGACATCACTCCTTTCCTTTAGGAAAAAATTGAAAACATGGATTTGGGACCAGGCATTCGGACAATCTGGCAGATAAAGAAAGGACTTTGACAATGGACAGGAATTGACTAATGGAATGGAATTATGGAACTCTGAAAGACCATTGCTGAGCATGAGAATAGTTTTATTGATGTATTATATACTGGTCATTTTGATTGTTTTAACTGTGGTAATTGTCTTAACTATGGTTTTGTACATTATTTGTATTTTGTGTCGGCATCGAATTGTGCCTTTTTGTAAGCCACCCTGAGTCCCCCCTCGGGGGTTGAGAAGGGCGGGGTAAAAGTACCCGAAATAAATGAATAAATAAATAAATAAATACAGGCCTGTGCCCAGAGTTTATTTTTTAAATTTTAAACTATTACATTTGGCCCGGCCATACGTTTTTAAATCCTTGTGTGTTATTGTTTATTGCTTATTGTTTATATGTGATTTACATTAATTGCATTGCACTGCATTGTTTTTGTTCACTGCTTTCTTGTTTTATTGATGTGTTGTTAGGCTTGGCCTCATGTAAGCTCCTCCGAGTCCCTTGGGGAGATGGTGGCGGGGTATAAATAAAGTTTATTATTATTATTATTATTATTATTATTATTATTATTAATATACAGACAGTCCTCAAGTTACAAACAAAATAGGAACTGTAGATTTGTATATAGGTCAGAATATTTAAAATATGTTCTGCCCCAACTTACAAACAAATTCAACTTAAGAACAAACCCACAGAACCTGGGCATGTTTAGCCTGAAGAAGAGAAGGCTGAGAGTAGACATGATGAGGGCCATGTGTAAATAAATACATGAGGGGAAGTCATAGGAAGGAGGGAGCAAGCTTGTTTTCTGCTACCTTGGAGACTAGGACGCAATGGAGCAATGACTTCAAACTACAGGAAAAGAGATTCCATCTGAACATTAGGAAGAACTTCCTGACTGTGAGAGCTGTTCAACAGTGGAACTCTCTGCCCTGGAGTGAGGTAGAGGCTCCTTCTTTGGAGGCCTTTAAACAGAGGTTGGATGGCCATCTGTTGGGGTTGCTTTGAATGCGATTTCCCTGCTTCTTGGCAGAATGGGGTTGGACTGGATGACTCATGAGGTCCCTTCCAACTCTATGAACCTATCTTGTTCATCACTTTGCTTTGGATATATAGTATACTTTGGAGTATAGGGAAGGATAAACACTGCTGTGGTTTTTGTCAGTACATCTACACTCTGATTTGCTTTGCCGCCTCCGCATTGCTCACCGCTTTGCAGATCAATAGGACAATAGGAATATTTTATTTAAAATCAACCAGTTATGTAGTTCTCTAACTTCCTTCAAAACAAGTTGAAACCACCCAGCCCCGTCATTCCTTACTCCTGGCTGAAGCCATAGCGCTAATGGGTACCGGTGGATGCTGTCAATATCTGTGGGATTTATTATTATCCTTGTAATGCTCTGGGAGGACAAGTGAACAAGCAAATAAACTGCCTCCTTGTTAGCAAAATAAGGAGGTTTCATTTGTGACAGTGGGGGAGAATGATGCTTATTTTCCAACCTCTGTCCCTCACACAATGAATTTTATTTCATTTTGTTTTTTGCACACTGTGCCTCTGCACAATACCGCTTCTTCGTCATCCAGCCGTGGGCTTTCTCTCCTCTTTTCTTGGGGATTTCTTTCATGTTTTGTAAAAAAGGATGAACCAAATGGAAGGTGGAAAGTGTATTGTCAATGGCTTTCATGGCCGGAATCACTGGATTGTTGTAGGTTTTTTGGGGCTATATGGCCATGTTCTAGAGGCATTCTCTCCTGACATTTCGCCTGCATCTATGGCAAGCACCCTCAGAGGTTGTGAGGTCTGTAAGGGTTTATATATCTGTGGAATGACCAGGGTGGGACAAAGAACTCTTGTCTGCTGGAGTTAGGTGTGAATGTTTCAACTGACCACCTTGATTAGCATTTGATGGCCTGGCAGTGCTTGGGGCAATCTTTTGTTGAGAGGTGATTAGATATCCTTGATTGTTTCCTCTCTGTTGTTGTGCTGTTCTAATTTTATAGTTTTTTAATACTGGTAGCCAGATTTTGTTCATTTTCATGGTTTCATCCTTTCTGTTGAAATTTCTGTTGAAATTGTCCACATGCTTGGTGTAGTCTGACATGGTGGTTGTTAGAGTGGTCCAGCATTTCTGTGTTCTCCAATAATATGCTGTGTCAGGGTTAGTTCATCAGGTGCTCTGGGACATCTAATCACCTTTCAACAAAAGATTGCCCCAGACGCTGCCAGGCCATCAAATGCTAATCAAGGTAGTCAGTTGAAACATTCACACCTAGCTCCAACAGACAAGAGTTCTTTGTCCCACCCTGGTCATTCCACAGATATATAAACCTATTTTCCTAGTTCCAACAGACCTCACTACCTCTGAGGAAGCTTGCCATAGATGCAGGCGAAATGTCAGGAGAGAATGCCTCTAGAACATGGCCATAGAGCCCCCCAAAAAACCTACAACAACCCGGAAGGTGTAAAGTTTTACCAAGAGTGTATCTATACCAGGCATGGGCAAACTGTTGAATGAATGCAGTTTGGCACCACTTTTATCTGCCAAGGCTATGGAATCCTGAGAGTTGTAGTTTGCACTAATTGGTAAAGAAGGCTAAAGACTTTGTAAAACTCCCAAGATTCCATAGCGTTGAGCCACGGCAATTCACGTGTTGTCAAACTGCATTCATTCTGCAGTGTTGGTACACCCTATGACTTTGGAATCAATGGCTTTCCCTCAAACCAAAGGCCCCACTGTAATAATATTTTAACCTTGGTGTGCTTTTGTGGTGTGAATTTTGATCTGTATCCCCTGTAAAACACTACATGAGAGAGAAGACAAGCAGATAAGGATGCAAACTGCTAGGTTATGTTGTCTTCATACTGCAAAGGCCAAATAACGATAAGATTGGAAGAGACTCCAAGGGCCATCCAGTCCAACCCCCCCCCCCCTTCTGCCATGCAGGAAAAGCAAACAAAAGCACTACTGACAGATGGCCATCCAGGCTGTGCTTAAAGACCTCCAGGGAAGGAGGCTCCACCACATTTGATGCAGTTTAGAATTGCATTCGCCATTTTTGTTGCTGATCACACTGCTGACTCATTAATCAGCTTCTAGTCAACTAAGAAGCTGCACCGGGACTGTGGCGCAGCTGTCTGAGCGTCAGCTGCATTGAGATCACTTCTGACCAAAAGGTCATGAGTCTGAAGCCAGTCCGGGTCGGAGTGAGCTTCCGACCAATTGTGTAGCTTGTTGCCGACTTTTGCAACCCGAAAAACACTTGCATCTGTCAAGTAGAAAAATTAGGTACCACCTATGTGTGGGGAGGCTAATTTAACTAATTTACAAGGCCATAAAAAAAACTCCAGCAAAAGCATGTGGGAAATGTGGAAGTACTTCATCAGTGTCGCAGATGGACGATGAAAGCGACAGCTCCCCTGGCAGCTGGAAAAATAGCCTCTGACTGCCTGTCTATATCTGTTGTGTGTCTTTGGCATTGAATGTTTGCCATATATGTGTACATTGTAATCTGCCCTGAGTCCCCTGCGGGGTGAGAAGGGCGGAATAGAAAAACTGTAAATAAAAAAGTAAATAAATAAAAGTCCTGGGTTGCTTTCCCATGGACTGTTTCCAAGCCAGGTGTGTCTCTCATCCTGTATCTGTGCATTTCATTGTTATTGCCTAAGTGTATTGCTGAAGTGCTGTTCTATGCCAGCTTCTCTCCTGTTTAATGTATTGTCGAAGGCTTTCATGGCCGGGATCACTGGGTTGTTGTAGGTTTTTCGGGCTGTATGGCCATGTTCTAGAAGCATTCTCTCCTGACATTTCACCTGCATCTATGGCAAGCATCCTCAGAGGTTGTGAGGTCTGTTGGAACTAGAAAAATTGGGTTTATATATCCTTGGAATGTCCAGGGTGCGACAAAGAACTCGTGTCTGTTGCAGCTAGGTGTGAATGTTTGTTTTTGCAACCCACAGCAATCCCAGAGGCATCGCCAACATTATCTGGACAAGACAGGGACGATGCATCGGGTGCCCTACTTCATCATCCCAGTGAAGGAGAGGGACAGATACCCTCACCCTCTGGATCTGTGAGTCTTTGGGGCAAATGCTTGGGTGGGGAGAAAGGTTTCGGCATCCCACTTTGCCATGAAAACGTCTTGGCATCTCTTGAATTGTCATTCCTCTATTCTACAGCATCCTGGGATTTGTAGTGTGGACTAAAGCAGAAGAGCAATAACACCCCATTATGTCAGCTCCACTGGTTGTCAGTCTGCTACCAAGCACAATGCAAAGTGCTGGCTTTAGCCTAGAAAGCGCTACACAGTTCCAGCCCAGCTTACCTGTCTGAACCTATCTCCCCCTATGAACCATCTTGGAGATTAAGGTCATAGAATCATAGAACCAAAGAGTTGGAAGAGACCTCCTTGGCCATCCAGTCCAACCCCATTCTGCCAAGAAGCAGGAATATTGCCTTCAAATCACCCCTGACAGATGGCCATCCAGCCTCTGTTTAAAAGCTTCCAAAGAAGGAGCCTCCACCACACTCCGGGGCAGAGAGTTCCACTGCTGAACGGCTCTCACAGTCAGGAAGTTCTTCCTCATGTTCAGATGGAATCTCCTCTCTTGTAGTTTGAAGCCATTGTTCCGCGTCCTAGTCTCCAAGGAAGCAGAAAACAAGCTTGCTCCCTCCTCCCTGTGTCTTCCTCTCACATATTTATACATGGCTATCATACCTCCTCCCATCCTTCTCTTCTTCAGGCTGAACATGCCCAGCTCCTTAAGCCGCTCCTCATAGGGTTTGTTCTCCAGACCCTTGATCATTTTAGTCGCCCTCCTCTGGACACATTCCAGCTTGTCAATATCTCTCTTGAATTGTAGTGCCCAGAATTGGACACAATATTCCAGGTGTGGTCTAACCAAGGCGGAATAGAGCATGGGGAGCATGACTTCCCTAGATCTACACACTAGGCTCCTCTTGATGCAGGCCAAAATCCCATTGGCTTTTTTTGCTGCCACATCACATTGTTGGCTCATGTTTAACTTGTTGTCCACAAGGATTCCAAGATCTTTTTCACACGTACTGCTCTGGAGCCAGGCTTCATCCCCCATTCTGTATCTTTGCATTTTGTTTTTCCTGCCAAAGTGGAGTATCTTGCATATGTCACTGTTGAACTTCATTTTGTTAGTTTTGGCCCATCTCTCTAATCTGTCAAGATGGTTTTGAATCCAGCTCCTGTCCTCTGGAGTATTGGCTCTCCCTCCCAATTTGGTCCCGTCTGCAAACTTGATGATCATGATGATCATGGTCATCCGGGATGGCCCTGCTCTTGGTCCCACCTCCTTCGCAGGTGCGACTAGTGGAGACGAGAGGCAGGGCTTTCTCAGTGGTGACTCCCTCCCCAATGACAGTAGATCAGCCCTCACCCTCCTAGTCTTCAGAAGAAAGGTGAAAAATTGGCTGTGGGATCAGGCCCTTGGAGAATAGTCCAGTGCAATGAACAGACCTGGAATATATGGAATGACTATGGAACGGCTTGGACTACGACTATGGATGATGTGATTTTAATATAGAATATAATGTCTTAAAATGTTTTAATTTTAATATATTTTAATTTAAATTTTTGGAATTTGTATGTGTTTTAAAGTCCCCCGGCTTTGGAACTCGCTACCTGGTGAGATTAGGCAGGCCCCCACCCTAGCAGCCTTTAAGAACGATCCAAAAACTTGGCTCTTCCGATGTGCCTTCGGAGAGTGACCCTTCAACCCATTTTGTTTGTATCCATATACAGTTGTCCTTATGATGCACTCTCCTCTGCCCTTGATGAAGGCCAAACCCCACTGCTCCTCCTTCGTGGGCTCCTCCCTCACAAACACACTTCTTCTATCCCTATCCCATCCAGGGTTTTAACATTTTATCTTGTGCATTTGGCCCACCTTTTGTGTTTGACTTTTATTATGTTGTTTTGCACTGTTCATTTTATTTTGTTGTGATGTCATCTTTCTGTTGTGTTGTATTTTATTGCTGTATTATTTTTGGCCTTGGCCTCATGTTAGCCGCCCCGAGTCCCCTTTGGGGAGATGGTGGCGGGGTATAAATAAAGATGATGATGATGATGATGATGATTATTATTATTATTATTATGACATTGAATAATTGCCTCTACGTAAGCCACCTTGGGGAGCCCCCGGTGGTGCAGTGGGTTAAAGCACTGAGCTGCTGAGCTTGTTGACCGAAAGGTCGCAGGTTCGATTCCGGGGAGCGGCGTGAGCTTCCGCTGTCAGCCCTAGCTTCTGCCAACCTAGCAGTTCGAAAACATGCAAATGTGAGTAGATCAATAGGTACCGCTCCGGTGGGAAGGTAACGGCGCTCCATGCAGTCATGCTGGCCACATGACCTTGGAGGTGTCTACGGACAACGCTGGGTCTTTGGCTTAGAAATGGAGATGAGCACCACACCCCAGAGTCAGACATGACTGGACTTAATGTCAGGGGACTACCTTTACCTTTACCACCTTGAGTCCCTTTTGGAGTAGGAAAAAGTAAGGTATAAAGAGTAAATAATAGGGCTGGGCGGTTTCGTTTCGTTAATTCGTAATTCGTTAAAAAATTCGTTAATTTTTCAATTACAAAACGATAACGAACCAGTCTGGAGCAATTTTTTAAAAAAACGAATTTTTAAATCGTTTCGTAAATGTTTTGTATTTCGTTATTGTATTCGTTTCGTTATCGTTTTGAGGTCGTTTCGTTATTATTTCCGCATGTCTGGGGCAAGTTTTATAGTTGTTTTTGGTTTTCTAAGGGTTTTTATAGTTGTTTTTGGTTTAATTAAGCTTCAGAAGTTCCCCCTGTCCCATTTGGAGGTTTTTTAGCGTATTGCGCGGTCGCGTCCGCCATTAACGAATCGATTCGTTATTGTTTCGGAAATCGATTCGTTATTGTTTTGTAATTTTTTTCACATTTACGAAATTTCGTAAATATCGAACTTTTTTAAAGGAAAATTTTGTAATTATTTTAAATAACGAAACGCAAAAAACCCCAAAAATTTGATTTTAGAAACAAATTTTTCCGTTGTTACCCAGGCCTAGTAAATAAGTATGTTTGGCGGGGACAAGATACAGGGCCTTCTCAGTGGTGGCCCCTCATCTATGGACGCCCTCCCTAGGGAGATTAGATCTGCTCCCTCCCTACTAACATTTTGGAGGCAAGTTAAAACATGGCTGTTCGAGCAAGTGTTTACAAATGCAGAGCAGCTAATATAGGAAATTGAACGATTTGACAATGGAACTGGACAATGCTCGATAATAACGAGATGCTAATGATGTTGTTTTTATTGCTTTTGTGGTGTTTTATATTGTTTAATGTTTCAATCTGTATTATGCTTTTATATGTACTGATTGGTTGGAAACCGACTTGAGTTGCCGATTGGCTGAGAAAGGCGGTATACAAATACAATAAATAAATAAATATTTGTTTGTTTGTTTGTTTTCTGTATTTGTATACTGCCCTTCTCAACCCTCAGGCGATTCAGGGCGGATTACAACCATTTGAGAGGATGTGGGAAGTTTGCAGTTTGTTTACTTTCTATGGGTGCTTCTACAACAGGCATGGGCAAACTTGCCCTCCGGGCGTTTGGACTTCAACCCCACAATTCCTAACACCGGTAGGCTGTTAGGAATTGTGGGAGTTGAAGACCAAAGCACCCGGAGGGCCGAAGTAGGCTGTTAGGAATTGTGGGAGTTGAAGTCCAAAGCACCCGGAGGGCCGAAGTAGGCTGTTAGGAATTGTGGGAGTTGAAGTCCAAAGCACCCGGAGGGCCGAAGTAGGCTGTTAGGAATTGTGGGAGTTGAAGTCCAAAGCACCCGGAGGGCCGAAGTAGGCTGTTAGGAATTGTGGGAGTTGAAGTCCAAAGCACCCGGAGGGCCGAAGTAGGCTGTTAGGAATTGTGGGAGTTGAAGTCCAAAGCACCCGGAGGGCCGAAGTAGGCTGTTAGGAATTGTGGGAGTTGAAGTCCAAAGCACCCGGAGGGCCGAAGTTTGCCCATGCCTGCCATAGCTCATGCCTTTTTCTGTTCTGTTGTTCTTATTTGAAGTTTACGTTTCCTCTGTATTTTGTCGTAGGTCTGATTCCTTTTTCTAAGCACATTTTCCTCTAAAAAAAATACCCCAAACGACCCAGAAAATCCCACTTTTTGGTCCTTCTTCATCCTGACTTTCTCCCAAAGATGTCAAGTGGATGCTGTGATGTTTTGTGATTGAACTGCGGTCTGGATCCCGCTCTGAGGTTGGGTTTGTTGGTGCCAGAGAACAAAGGAGGAGATGTTTGGAAACCGAAGAAGGGCAATTTCTGTGTGGGATTGTTGTCAGGAGCATGGGTCCTGCCGGGTTTATTCTTCATATCCTGTATGATTTTGCTTGCAGTGACTATGTATTGTTATGCACTGGGTGGTGGGTTTTGATATTATGGTGTTTGCTTGCATTTAGCTGGAGAATTGCATTTCTGTCGAAGGCTTTCATGGCCGGAATCACTGGGTTGTTGTAGGTTTTTTCTGGGCTATATGGCCATGTTCTAGAGGCATTTTCTCCTGACGTTTCGCCTGCATCTATGGCAAGCATCCTCAGAGGTAGTGAGGTCTGTTGGAAGTAGGAAAATGGGTTTATATATCTGTGGAATGACCAGGGTGGGACAAAGGACTCTTGTCTGCTGGAGCTAGGTGTGAATGTTTCAACTGACCACCTTGATTAGCATATAGTGGCCTGACAGTGCCTAGAGCAAACTTTTGTTGAGAGGTGATTAGATGTCCTTGTTTGTTTCCTCTCTGTTGTTGTGCTGTTGCAATTTTAGAGTTTTTTTAATACTGGTAGCCAGATTTTGTTCATTTTCATGGTTTCCTCCTTTCTGTTGAAATTGTCCACATGCTTCTTGTGTATTTTAATGGTTTCTCTGTGTAGTCTGACATGGTGGTTGTTGGAGTGGTCCAGCATTTCTGTGTTCTCAAATAATATGCTGTGTCCAGGTTGGTTCATCAGGTGCTCTGCTATGGCTGACTTCTCTGGTTGAAGTAGTCTGCAGTGCCTTTCATGTTCCCTGATTCGTGTTTGGGCATTTGGTGGTCGTCCCTATGGAGATTTCTTGTCCACAGCTGCATGGTAATTGATTAGCATTTAATGGCCTGACATCAAATCACTCTCAACAAAAGATTCTCCCCAGGCACAGTCAGGCCATTAAATGCTAATCAAGGTGGTCAGTCGAAACATTCACACCTAGCTCCAGCAGACAAGAGTCCTTTGTCCCACCCTGGTCATTCCACAGATATATAAACCCTTTTTCCTACTTCCAACAGACCTCACAACCTCTGAGGGTGCTTGCCATAGATGCAGGCGAAACGTCAGGAGAAAATGCCTCTAGAACATGGCCATATAGCCCGGAAAAAACCTGCAACAACCCAATTGCATTTCTTTTTCTATCATTACTCGTTTTAACAAATGATGTTCCATTTAAACGATAAGCAAAAAGTCAATCATAGAATCATAGAGTTGGAAGAGTCCCTTTAAGGCCATCCAGTCCAACCCCCTGCCATGCAGGAAAAGCAGAATTCAAGTCATAACAGTCACTTTATTAGGCTGTCCTTGAATTGACACCTGGCTCCAGCAGACAAGAGTCCTTTGCCCCACCCTGGTCATTCCACAGATATATAAACCCTTTTTCCTAGTTCCAACAGACCTCACTACCTCTGAGGATGCTTGCCATAGATGCAGGCAAAACGTCAGGAGAAAATGCCTCTGGAACATGGCCATATAGCCTGGAAAAACCTACAACAATCCAAGGGCTATAAAGTTCCTGGATCTCCCACACACTGTCTGGAGACCGTAACCATCTTCCACAGCAGTTCCTGGACCTCTGAGGATGCCGGCCATAGATGCAGGTGAAATGTTAGGAGGGAACGCTTCTGGAACATGGCCATACAGCCCGAAAAACTTGCAGCAACCCAGTTCCTGGACCACTTGCACAGCAGGGACGGTATTCCAGCTTCCGGCCACTAGGCATACAAAAACTTTGCTAGGTCTTACTTTCGGGGGAGGCCTTATATTAGCAAAAGTTCTACTAGGTCTTATTTTCAGGGGATGTCTTATTTTCGGAGAAACAGGATAGATAGATAGATAGATAGATAGATAGATAGATAGATAGATAGATAGATAGATAGATAGGCTATCCACTTCTCTAGGTGAGAGAAATGGGGAAATGATCTTCAGAGGGGCAGCCATTAAAACGACAGCTCCTTTTTAGAATCACAGCCAGATAGTGGGTAACAGGAAAGAACCCCATTCTTTGCCTTCTTCAAGTGAAAAATATTCAGGTGGGAGGCATCCTATTCCCTATACAATATCCAGATGCACTAAAAAGTAAAAACAAAAGCCTCAAAACTAACAATCTTTGCACTAAATGCCTCACTGAATGTGTTCCCCTTCGATTCCAGAAAACACACACTACGAATAACACATATACTTCCAAATGCACACTTGGCAACTACCTTTCAAGACACTATTAATATATAAGAATTAAGACTAAACTGCATTAGACACTTAACCTTGCAACCGCCACAAAAAGATACGTAAAATGCTCCAGTCCAAACAGCTAATTCTCTGTGGAAACTGGAAGGTTGTTGGTCAGGAGGGCTTGGGTTGTGCATCCTTGTAAGGCAGAAAAAGGTTGGTCTGGATGGCCTTCGGGGGTCCCTTTCAACTCTAGGAATCGATGTGAAAATTCCATATGCGCTTTTCATTGTTACTGTATTTTTTGATGATGTTACAAATGTTAATTGGCTCAAAATGGTGATGCAAATGTATTGTACTCTACCCAGTGCTTAATTAAAATGAGAAGAACGTGGTGGTTGTTGTTTGTTACTGTGTTGGGTTCTTCTTGAAGATGAAGCCTCACAAGTGGCCCTGTCCCCCACAGCCCTGTGTAAGTTTTGCATTCAGGGGATTTTTGCATGCAAGTAAGTATGTCAGCGGGGCACCCAGGTGGCACAGCAGGTTAAACCGCTGAGCTGCTGAACTTGCTTACCAAAAGTTCAAATTCGCGGAGCGGGATGAGCTCCCGCTGTTAGCCCCAGCTTCTGCCAACCTAGCAGTTTAAAAACATGCAAATGTGAGCAGATCAATAGGTACCACTTCTGCGGGAAGGTAAACATCTCTCCATGGAGTTATGCTGGCCACATGACCTTGGAGGTGTCTACGGACAATGCCGGCTCTTTGGCTTAGAAATGGAGGCGAGCACCAGAGTCGGACACGACTAGACTTAATGTCAAGAGGAAACCTTTACCTCTTTAAGTATATCAACGTGTTGTTCTGTGACTGCAAGTCACTTCCAGATTATAGCAGTTCTTCAAAGGCAAACCTATCACAGGGTTTTATTGTTGAGATTGGTTCAGAAGGGGTTTGCCTCTGAGGCTGAGAAAGAGTGGCTTTTCCAACGCCATCCAGGCAGAGTGAACAATGGGCAGATCGATGGTGGGGTCTCCTTCACACTCTCTCAACCTTGCTTGACTCAATGTGCCACTTCCGAAGAGTGATGATAAAAAATGGAATTTCCTGAGCAGATGGTGAGGTTGCAAAAGTGCCGTTTGAACGTTCCTAAGCGTTGATACCGGCATTCTCCGTTTGATCGCCACCGTTCAGCATCTTCTCCTCCACTATCATGTCTGTTTGGCCCCTGAAAGAGAACTCGGCAGCCTCACAATCCTTTACAAACATCCCTGGCACCATTACAATGTGGCCCTGAAAGCTAACAGATGGGCAACAAACAGCCTGCCTCACCGATGGCTGCGTTGGCGAACGGAGGAACACAGAGTCGTCGTGTTTGTATATCGGCCAGATGCTGCATGTCTGGAAGAGTAAAACAGGGTGAATGTAAGGAAGGCAATGACACTATTGGAAAGGAAATAGGAAAGTGGGAAGGTGGAATCTCTTTTGTTAGCCCAGGTAAGGGCAAACCTAGGCTCAGGGGTTAAATACGGCCCCTTGGACTCTTCTCAGGCCCTCCTCTCTCACACAATCCTATCCTTTTCCATTGCTGTTTTGGAGAATGATCTTACATCTCTTTTTGTTTCACTACCCCAAAATGTTTGTCCCCATACTGTATTTCCTCCTGCCTGTTTGAAGGCCTGACGCCACTACTCCGTTTTCCAATGAGCTTCTCCCTTACAAATATCTCCGTTTCTTTTCTATCTCATCCTGAGTTTTTATCAGTTTATCTTGTACATGTTGCCCGCGCATTGTGATTGTTATTTATTTATCACTGTATTTTGCACTGTTTTATTGTAGTCTCATGTTTTATTTATTTTATTGTGTTTTTTCCTGTGCTTTGGTTTTATTCTGTTGTAATGCACTACTGGGCTTGGCCTCATGTAAGCCACCCCGAGTCCCCTTTGGGGAGGTGGTGGTGGGTTATAAATAAAGATTATTATTATTATTATTATTATTATTATTATTATTATTATTATTATTATTATTATTGTTGCTGTTGTTATTCCTTCTCTCTTTCCTTCCTCCTTTCCTCCCTCCCTTCCTTACCTCCCTTTTTCTCCCACCTTCCCTTCCACCCTTCCCGTTTCTCCTTTCTTTTCCTCTTCCCTCCCTCCTTCCCTCTTTCTCCTTCTTTCCTTCTTTCCTTCTTTCCTTCTTTCCTTCTTTCCTTCTCCTTCCCTCCCTCCCTCCTTCCTTCCTTCCTTCCTTCCTTCCTTCTTCCCTCCCTCCCTCCCTCTCTTCTCTTCTACCCTTTTCTTCCATCCTTCTCTTCCTCCCTTTCTTCCTTCTTTCTTTCCTTCTTCCTTTCCTCCCTCCCTTCCTTCTCCCCTTTCTCCCCTTCCCTTCTTCTCTTCCACCCTCTCCCCCCTTTCCCTCCCTCCTTCCCTCTTCCTCCTCCCTCCCTTCTACCCTTCCTTTCTTCCATCCTTCTCTTCCTCCCTTTCTTCCTTCTCTCTTTCCTTCTTCCTTTCCTCCCTCCCTCCCCTACCGCCCTTTTTCTCCCACCTTCCCTTCCACCCTCTCGTCTTTATTTCTTTCCCTCTTCCCTCCCTCCTTCCCTCTTCCTCCTTCCTTCCTTCCTTCCTTCTTCCCTCCCTCCCTTCATTTCCTTACCCTTCCTTTCTTCCATCCTTCTCTTCCTCCCTTTCTTCTCTCTTTCCTTCTTCCTTTCCCCCTCCCTTCCTTACCTCCCTCTTTCTCCCACCTTCCCTTCTTCTCTTCCACCCTCTCGACCTTATTTCTTTCCCTCTTCCCTCTTCTTCCTCCTTCCCTCCCTCCCTTCCCTTCTACCCTTCCTTCTCTTTCTTCCATCCTTCTCTCCTCCTTTCTTCCTTCTCTCTTTCCCTCTTCCCTCCCTCCCTCCTTCCCTCTCCCTCCCTCCCTTCATTCCCTTCTACCCTTCCATCCTTCTCTTCCTCCCTTTCTTCCTTCTCCCTTTCCTTCTTCCTTTCCTCCCTCCTTCCCTTACCTCCCTTTTTCTCCCACCTTCCCTTCTTCCCTTCCACCCTCTTTCCTTATTTCTTTCCCTCTTCCCTCCCTCCCTCCTTCCCTCTCCCTCGCTCCCTTCATTCCCTTCTACCCTTTCTTCCATTCTTCTCTTCCTCCCTTTCTTTCTTCTCTTTTTCCTTCCTCCTTTCCTCCTGGGGGATGTTTAGCTGAGAGAAGAGAAGGTAGAGAGGGAACATGAGAACAATTGAGGAGGTCCCATTGAGGAGGAAGCGGAAAACCGACTTTCTGCTGCTCTAGAGACCAGGGAACAATGGTTTCAAGTGGAAGGGAAAGAGATTTGACTTCCTGAGTAAGAGCTGTTGGAGAGTGGCGTAGGCCGCCTGGGAGTGTGGTGGAGTCTCCTCTGGAGGCTTTTCCCCAGAGGCTGTCTATCGGG